TCACCAAAATGATTTTAAACAATGCAATAGATATTCAAAAGAGAACAAAATGTTAAATTGAACTGAGTTAGCATTAAGCAATGTTTAGAAATCTTATCTGGATTAGTTTGAGTGAGTTACAGCTGTATCTTTGGATACTTATTGGTCTATGTAAAATGAGACCAGTTTCTTTCCTAATAAACATTTCTCACTCTGTTAAGTTATTGCTGTCTGAGTTAGGTTGCCTGCTAGTTCAAATACAGCCATGTGAATAGTGAGTAGCATATTCTCTTCTGAACATTCATGTTAGATCCCTTAATGTACTGAGAAAGCTTTCTAAATCAGCTCCTACACCTCCAGGATGCACATGCTAATGTTAACTCAAGGGACAGTGTGTTTAGAAAACATTTGTGGTTATCTTTACATCTTACAGGCTTAAAAATTATTATTCCAGTATACTCTATTATTAAAATGTTACCATATAAGGCAATAAAACCAAAGATGAACAAAACATTTTTTTAAAATCATCTATATGAAGAAGTATCAAATAAGATTAATTCACTACAATCTTCCTATTTTTTTCCATTTCATCATATAAAATTTCCATCTTCTTGTTACCAACAACACAATGGACAGTCTGAGCCTTCTAAAACTCCATTATTAACTCAGGATGTGAAAAATTCATGGGGAGTTTGGATACTTTGCATGAAACTGGAGGCTGTATACTTTAAGAGAATCAGATTAAAGTGTTACATGGGGACAGAATAAATTGATGCTAAGAAGAGGAATGGTTTCTCTAATAGAAATTTGTTGGAACCAAGCAGATTTCATTGGTTACATTTCCCATTGTGATTTAGCACTTACAATACTGGGTTAAATAGCCTATAAAGATGAATAAAGTGTGGAACCTGACTTCAGTGAGTTAATAGTCCATCAGGGAAATAAATATGGTGTCAATAAGTACATGGTAAATAGACTGTCAAATGTATCATGGTACTTTGAAATATAGTGCAATAACATCAATATTTATGTTGACAATTACACTGTACCATACAGAGTTCCTTTAATCCTTACAAAGTCTTACTATAATCTCCATTTCACAGAACAACAGAACAGCAAACTAAAGCACAAACAACCTGTGTGCACTCTTAACCACTGCTTATACTGTTTCTCTTATGACTGATGGTGTAACTAGCTCTGCTTGGAATCAATTGACTGTGTCCTTTAAAGGAGAGCAGTATCTTTTAAAAAATAACAGAAGAAAGGAAAGAGGAAGGAAGGAAGGAAGGAAGGAAGGAAGGAAGGAAGGAAGGAAATCACCATTTTCTTCAGGCAGAGAGGATTCTATGAGCAACTAAGACACAGAAGTGTAAAGTAACATGGGATGTTCTGAGAAGGTTCACAGAAGATTCATATGATTTTCAGAAACCAAGTCATGGAGCGTAATTATTATTTTTTATTGTGCCATTCTTGAAAGTCTGAGTTTTGTTCTGTAGTTAGTAAAGTCTGCCTAATACTTTAAATCAGACAGGGAGATGATTACTCTGATTACTGTGATTACTCAAAAAACAATGTGAAAATGTTTTGGAGGAGAGCTATATTACAGGCAGGTAAAAGATTAGTACAGGTAGGAAAGGTGATTGAATAAACTCAACCAGTGACAAGGAGCAAGAGCTGGGGTGAAGATATATTATTCAAAGACAGATTGAATAAGTCTTGATCAATTTTATCATTAAGAATGTTGTAAAATAGAGAATCCAGAGAACTGGAGTTCATAGCCTAAATGGCTTTAGAGTGAATTATTAGGAAAAAGAGAAGCAAATTTCATATTTGGTTTTAATTTGAATTTGTTTGGTTTGTATTAAGCATTGATGAAGTTAATGATCTCAGTTTTGGATGAACAAAGATATCTAAGAACAATATCTAAGAAGCAGTTAGAAACATAGGTGATAGCGCCCTGCATCTACTTATGAACTTCAAGTGTCAGCTTGGGAGTCTTCAGGTTCCAGAAGCGAGAGGAATGGATGAGACCAACCAGAAAAAAAGACAAAACCCTGAGAAATATTAGTAAATTGGGCAAAAGAGGAGGAATCAGAAGAGACCAAGTAAGTAGGAAGAATACAGGATCAGTGGGAAATGGAGTTGTGGGATCCAAGATATAAGAAATTTCCAAAAAAGTATAAATGGTAATAACAAGAATTGTTATTTGCCTTAAACAAGGCAAGATGTCAAATGGTGTAATAACTAAAAGGGTATTCGTTCTAATGGATACATTTGGAGATCATTGGGAACATCAACAAAGGAAATTCCAGTCAAGTTTGAAACCAGACTTCATAATTTAATAGACTTCATTAGAAAGGAATATGAGAAGAACTGTGTGTACAGACAACTGAAGTTGTTTAGCAGTGAAGAGAAGGCTAACACAGTGTGGTCACTAGAAGTGATGTCATTGCCATGAAAATTGTTCTGCTTCTACCCTCTTTACAAGTGGAAGAGACTTGACCATCTCTATAGCCTGAAAGGAAGATTCAGTGGACAAGAAGGTATTGAAGAGAAGGACTATAGTTGATAGCATACAGTTCTTTATCAGTGAAAGAGGATCAGATGATGTCTTGATAAGACCAAGAAGATGGGTATCCTCAGCATCTTAATGAAAATGTGTTTCATGATGGAACTATTCATTGTTGTAAAAGTTTAAGTGGGCAGTGAAAAGGGTGAGCCGTTTTTGTGACTTTTCAAATAGTTTCAAGGATACAGGGTAACACTGTTAATATAAGGTACAGATAAAGACATGTCATAGAGAGGCTGATCTAAGGTGCACAGATGTACCTGTAGTCGATCTCAATACAGCATATGGACAGTGACCTGAAATGTGAGGTGAAGGCTTACAAAATGGAGAAATGTTCACTGTGTATCAGGGGTCCTCACAGCCTCTAACATGGATGGCATTAACCCAAGCTCCCTTTTGGCAGCTCAGATTAAGAACTGAAATCCCTTTTTACTTTCTCTTTAGATTTAAGATAAATCAGGAAGAATAATTGGAAAATTATGTCTTTAGAGAAGACAGTTCAGATTTTAAATTATGCATTGGAAAGACGACTGCCTAAAGCAATGCAGAAGGCGGCCCCATGGTCTCACTCCAGTCCAGGCCTAGGTCACTGCTGCATTTCTAATCCTTCACATAGAGCCTTAGGTAAGATGGAATTTATAATAGATATGCAGGTTAATATTACAGATGGATACATATACATACATACAGAGTATGCAAAATATCAGGACTTATTGGATTTGGTTAGTGAACATACAAGTATTCATTCAATTATTATTCTATTTTCCATTTATGTATATACATTTCTAATTCTAACCACACATATTTTTACATGCATTTGGCTCTGCTCCCATGCACCTTAAGTTATAAATATAAAGTACTTGGTAAATAGTGTGAGTTTGATACATGTTATTCCTTTCTATTATAATATTAATGTTATAATTAATTAACTTTAATTATTGTATTTCCCCAACTATACAATATGATTTGTATATTTGAGAACTTTCTTCTCCATTTCTTTCCTTCTTTTTACACATCAAATTTAGAGTGCCTTACTGGAAATAAGAACACCACTTCTTGGATAAATCCTTAATTTCACTTCTGGAGAGAAGTTTTAATCAACAAGGGAGAAAGGACTAGACTCCTTCCCTAGCCTACCACTCACATTTATTCTTTTATGAAAGGGTTCCTTGAGTTCCTTGAGTTCCTTGAAGGCAAAGGCCTTCTCATATGTTGTTTTTTAAATCTGTGGAGCATACCAAGGTGTTTGGCAGACTCATTGGATGTTTTTTGAATGAACGAATAAATCACTGCCTAAATGAATAACTATAAGAATAGGAGATATTTAAGCATTTCCACTATCCAATGGATTTTCATTAATGGCAGCTGACCAAATAGAAAATAGAGTTTGCATCTTTTTATCCTCTACATTGATCTTAAATGAGGTCTTCATTCATTCTGATTGATTCTTTAATAAGGTTGTAAGACAGAAAACTGAAAGCCATGGCAAAATCCAAGATGGAAGGCTGTGAACATAAAATAACCAACCAACCAAAGAATAATTATTGTCAACTACAGGAGAATCAGAGCAAAGAGAAGGGATTGGAAAGTTAGAAGAAAATTTCAATCAAAGGTATACAGAATCACGGAATCTTTGAGAGATCAGGTCATGTAGTTTAAGTCCTGTTTTTCAAAGGAAGAACCTTAAGCTATGTGACTTTTTCTAAGCAAGAGGCTATAAATTTCCAGATGCTTATTAAAATGATGAGTGATGGGTTCTTGGGTGGTTCAGTTGGTTAAGTGTTTGATTTCGGCATGGGTCATGATCTCAGGGCTGAGATTGAGCCCTACATCCAGCACCATCCTGGGCGTGGAGCCTGCTTAAAATTCTCTCTTCCTCTCTCCCTCTGCCCCTCTATCAAATAAATAAATAAATAAATAAATAAATAAATAAATAAATAAATAAAATGAAGAATGAAGACACAATCATCAACTTACTAACTTGATTGTCCATTGCCTTCCCCTGATAGACAGAAGAAAACGGCAAAAACAGTATTCATGTTGAAATGAACTGGGAAAGCTAAAATCATTGAAAGCTAAAATCTAGAGTTATCAGCAGAGCAACAATCTTATCCCAGAGACACACAGATACTTCCTCCAGCCTAGCTCTATCTATGCTCCCTCTTCACATCCCATTCCTTACTCTTTCTAAGGGAGAGAGAGAGAGAAAGAGAGCATGAGGGAGGGAAACATAATGTGGGTAGAGATCACGTGGGAATAGAGGACATGGAAGATGCTATGAAGTCAATCATGCATGACAAGAAAAAAGTACAATGGTGGTAAATGTTGGTTTAAAGTTTTTGTTTAAAGATTTAAAACAAAGTAAGACAGTTTTGAACATTTTTCTTCAGTACTGATTCCAGAGATCAAGGATATCTTAGCAATTAAAATAGGGAAATTGCGGTCTACTTACCCATTTTGTATGGCAGCTGTGGGGTCATAGGTCAGAGCCATGCCAGCCTGTATACCGGGAGAAAAGAGGGGAAAACAAATCTTAACACTTTTATCTTGGTGTCCATAACATTCAGTACACACATTTTACCTTTACTTTCCATGATTTAAGTTTATTTTATCCTATACATTTTTCCAACCTTACTGCCAAGACTAGCATTTTTACTACCCACACATCAGAATCCACCAGTGAGTTAGGAGTTTATATTATATATCCAGACAAACCAAGGAACAATGTAGTTTGGATGATTTCCATTTCTACTTCATAAACCATCCGCTGTCTAATCTGGTATCCTTATAATTTCTCACTATTGTCAAGAGTACCTATTATATGTTTCATGGCTGAAAAAAAAAAGCAAGAATAAATCCTGTGGTCAGGATAAAAATAAAAGCTACTTAAAATGCATTCGACCTTTCAGAAGAAAATGTTAAGAAATATTTATTTTAAAATAGATCGTATGCCTTGGGGTATGTAGGTAATGAGTCACAAAGTGCTTGTCCAATATATTGCTAGTACCTGTCCTACTAAGAGTGGTAGAAAGGCAAGGTCATTTATACATAATGGAAATTCTAGACCTTGTAGCTAGTAAGGAGGTGGGTTTGTTCTGTTTCTAAGAATAAAATCACCATTTGAAGAACTAAACTGCTATAACTAGCTGTAGTTTCAGAAAATAATAAACTTTATAACTATTAATTCACAGCCTACCTCCTTCCTTCATACACATCACATTTGATCCTCACAACAACCCTATGAAGTAGGCAGGAGAAACAGTTTCTCCATTCTATAGATGAAGATACTGAGGCTTGGAGAGGTCAAGTGACCTGCTCAAGGTCACACATTTGGAGGCAGAATCAGATTCCAGCCCAGGTCTTCTGAGGCTCCCTTCCACCATCTATGAACCTGACCCAGGGTCTGCATGAGACCTAATGTTCATCTCCATCAATGTGGGAGAACTTTCTCTCTCTGTGGGCATACCACCTTTGGTTTCCAACATCATCAGTATGATTACTGCTTATGAGTAGAAACAGAATATAGAATGAAACTCAAAATTGATTAGGATGTTGTCAGGTTAGACATTTTTTTTTAATTTAACAGTGAATTAGACCTGTGTCAATTTCCTGGCTTTGATAGTGCACTATAATTATGTAAGATATAACAGATGGAAGAAATGGGGTGAAGGGTACACAGGAACTGCTTGTACATTTCTTTTGCAATTTTCCATGAATCTATAATTATTTCAAAAGAAAAAAAATGAATTAGCTTTGAGGACTTTTATAGAAGACAAGAAAAATCATAAAAATTTTAGAGAAAAGAAAATGAGCTTTCAGTGTAGGTGAAGGTAGTTTTCCTGTAGGACTCATTGAATTCCTCAGATTTCATACATAACTGAAGTGGAAATTCTCAGGCTTTCCAAGATGGGGCCTAAAGTCCAGTTTGCCATGCTATATTCATTAGATTACATGCATTATTTTTCCCAAACAATTTAAAAATTGTCATTAAGATTGGTATAAAGAGGCAGCCCTGGTGGCTCAGCGGTTTAGTGCCACCTTCAGCCCAGGGTGTGACCCTGGAGACCCGGGATCAAGTCCCATGTCGGGCTCCCTGCAGGGAGCCTGCTTCTCCCTCTGCCTGCGTCTCTGACTCTTTCTCTCTCTGTGTCTCTCATAAATAAGTAAATAAAATCTTTAAAAAAAAAAGATTGTTATAAAGAATAAAGGTGTAGAGCCACATATGAATGGGATTGGCATACTGAAAGCATTCATAAATTGAAACAGAGTTTGTAAGCAAAGTAGAGATGACTGTTAGAAGTTAATAGAGGTGTACCGAGAATGCATGTTTAATGACAACTGCATCTCACTCATGTTAAAGAAATATGCAACAGATTATATGATAGGTTAGGGGATTGGAAAGTGAAAAGCAAAGGTAGTGTGTCAAAACACAAAGAGATTCTGGGGCACCTGGTTGGCACAGTTGATTAAGCATCTGACTCTCGGTTTTAGCTCAGGTCATGTATCTCAGTGTTACGAGATTAGGTCCCACATGGGGCTCATGCTCAGTATGGAGTCTGCTTGAGATTCCCTCTCCCTCTCCCTCTGCTCCTTCTGTGTGTTCCCTTTCTCTCTCCCTCTCTCTTTTAGATAAGTAAATCACACACACACACACGCACACACACATGCACACACACACACACATACAAAGAGATCCTCAGTCTAAATTCTTCCCAAGATGGAGCCTTTGTCATGTGACTGATGGGAGACCCCCCCAGAATGGACCTGTCCAGGATACAGCTCATAATCCATGGTTCTGGCTATTTAGAGGGTAGTTGTAAAAGTTGTCCATTGGGAATGAGATTTCTCTCTTAGAAATGCTAATCTTCTTTCCCCTAACTTATTCAAGATGTCATACCAGAGGCAGAATGAAAAAAAGGAGGGGGGCTTTATACTCAATTGAGATATTGTTTGTTGGTGAGAGATTTAAGATAAAATCATACCTTCAGCCTCCTAACCACCCCAGATTGTTTAAATCCTAGGAGGTTTATAGGAAGACTTTCCTAGTCAACCCCATGCTTTCTTCTTTTCCTAGTACTTATTTTCCAATAAGAAAATAAGAGACCAATGCTTTTTAGCCTTTCTTGAATTATGAATTGTCTTGAACATTCTCTTCTTATGCCATGTTTATTTATTCTGGCAACATTAGGTAAGGATTTTTTTCTTTCACATTTTACTTGAATTCCTTATGGATTATAGTCAACAAATCAACTCTAGATAGGAACACCATAATTATCAATAAACTCTGTCTTTTTGTTGAATATGCATGTGATAATCAGAAAGCCTAAGTTGGCTTCTTACTATATCTTAAATCAACATTCCATCTCTCAGAAGATGGAAAAGGACTGAATCAATGACAATATGGTTTTGTAAAAAGAATATATGTTTTTGACCTGGGTTCAAGTGTTAGCTCTGTTCCATTCTAGCAGTGTGACCTTAGGCAGCTTATTAAACCTGTTTGAACCTCAGTTTCCTCAACTGTTAAATGATTTAGTAATACCTACCTCATCGGATTGTTGTGAAATTTAAATGAGATTACGTTTGTAAAGCGCCCAGCACAGTGCCTGGAGACAAGACACATACATAAATATTATAATACAAAGCAACATGTGGTAAGTGCCAGATGAGTGGTATAGATGAGGTGTGGAGGAGAGAGGCTGAGGTGATCAGGGACGCTATGTGGAGGACATACAGATGAGTGGAATCTTGAAAGATGATTAAGGTTTTCATAATGGATATGAGAGATGGAGGCCAACTCAGACAAAAGGAATAGTATGGAAAAGATACAGAAATACAAAGGGCAAGGTGGGTGATTCACTTGCAGTAGAATATTGTGGTGTGGGAGCAGTGGGAATTAAGACTCAAAAGAAAAGAAGGGAGGACCTTGATTGCCTGGCTCCTCTGTGGGAGCCACTGAACATTTTTCAAGCAGGGAAATTACAAAGGGATTGGACAAGAAACAGCACAAACCCCCCTGGAAAACAGAGGGTAAATCCAGAGCAATGAGCAACTGGAGTAGGCACTTGGGGACAGGAAGGTGGAGAGAATCTAAGGTGAGATTGTCATTGCAAAAGGGTAGGGAATGAACACAAGATTCACCTACTTCATGATTTTGCCTAGGGACAGTCCTGCCTCTGAGTACCTTTGGCAAGAGGAGACAAGAGATAGTTTCAGGTCATTTGCATTTGGAACATTATGGGTAACAAAACAAGGCATGGGTTAAACAAAGGGTTGTTTGAACTTAACCCACTGGCTGAATATCATAGCACAATAACTAATAGTTGGCTACACCTGGTTTTCATTTCATGTGTAACAGATTGTTAGAATTCTAATATAGTGTTAAGGCAGAATTTGCATTCAATTTCCTTTTTTTCTCTCCACAAAGGTAAAAAAGAAAATCAATTTTGCTGCCCTGTCTAGCCACCTTTATACTAAGCGAGAACCATGAAATCATCATTATGTAATTACCAAATTTTATGGCATGTTTACAAACTCCAGAGTCACACAAAAAGTAAAATTACTTGGAACAAAACAAAAATGTCACACCATATATGTAGGAAAGTGATGTTTAATTCTGTCTCTCTCTTTCAAAAGAGTTATTAGATTCACAAATATTTTCCATTTTCAAGTTTACATTATTTGTGTACTGGAGGTATTTACAATTTATTTAAAACAAAAGGGGGCATTTTTGTCATTTTCCAGCAGCAGCTGAGGTTTCACTTAGTATTTCAGCCATAATAGGGTATTTCTAGGCCGCCCAAACAGAATCTATACTGTAAGAGCTAGATTTTTAGAAGAAATTTTAAAGTACAGTTGACTGGAGTAATTAAGGTATCTAATTATTTTCAATACATATAGAGTTTTCACTGGGACACATCTGTTTGCCTTAGGAACTACATAGTTGATATTCATAACTGCGACATCGATGTTTTAATGCAACATTTCTCTTTTTCCTAATTCTATCTTGACACATGATGCATCATAATAGTATGAGTAAAATGAATAATCACAAGAATTTCCAATTTTCTACAATCAGGTTTAAGGTAACACTTTAGCATATACAGAATAAATATACATTTTAGTAAATATTGTGTACTGACTTAGCACAAGATGAGATCAGGAAACCAAAGAGGAAAAAGATATGATTTTCTGGATATTATCTGTTAAGAGTTTATATCTTGCAACTAATTTTAACAATATTTATAACTGTTAGCAGGTTATAGTTAAAAACTCCACAAATAAAATAAGGTGACTTAAAAGGTGATGTGGGTGAAAGGGTTTGAAAATTATGTGTTATAAATATTTAGGTTCTGCTACTGCAGTAAAACCTCACTTAACTTTGTTTATATTTATTTACCAGTATTTCTCTTTAAAAAAACATGTCCTTTAGTGAAGAAATCATGTACATTATGGGTCAAAAAATAAAATTTTAAGAATTCAAAAATATCTGACTAGAAATA